TAGACTATCATTCTTAAAATGATGATGAGAGTTTCATAGCTTTAGGCTAGGTCACCTACATTTATACCATGCCTCATAGGCCTAAAATACTTTTTTAAAAAACAATAAGAGTACTACAGCACAGGTTCTAGAGTTTAGACTAGGCCTAGAATAGTGTGCAGTAAATCCATACTTTAAAGCCAAATGCACTTGACAATGACAATATAAATGATAATATCGTCTTATACCAGTAAGTAATAATTTCATATATATCATATATATATATATATATATATATATATATATATATGCCTTAACCTAAGCTCTCCTAGCAATCCTAGGCATAATATGTACTATCTTAGGTCTTGGAATATTTAAGTTTAGGTTATTTACTTTTATTTGTTCAGGACCATATATGAAAAGTACAAAAAGGATCTCGGTGGTTTACTCTTGGTCCATCACCACATATTTTGGTACTTTTGACAAAATAGTTACTAAAAGTACTAACCTTCCAGGAGGATGGGTGGTATTATAACAATTATTGTAATGATGTAAAATATATCAAGGGATATAACCAAAGACTGCAAATACTGAACAATGTTAACAGGCAGGTAGAAATACATACAAAAAGTTGTGATAATACTTTACTGATGTAGAGTACAGCTAAGAGCAGTTGGCGTTCATGCACCAAGTACCAGACCGAACACCCAGATTAGTATGATGCAGGCAAGCCCATAGAGTATATAAATAATGCATTTTAACTTGAGCACTGAGCCCGTGCTTTTAATGGAACACTTTCTTCCAGTTATATTTTTCAATATCCTGTATATAATGCAGATGCCTGCCCTTACTACTGTGATAGTCGTCATAATTTTAAGCTAAGAACTGTTCAGAACTGCAGAACATTCACATTTCATCTAATAAAGTGCAACAAATAGGCTAATATGAACACTGCCAGATAAATGGTTTATCAGGGGCACAGCATTGCTATTTTTTATTTTTACTTTCTAGCCTGGGACTCCTGGCTGTTTTATGTGGCACATTTTATACATTTTGTATTATACCAACACGTTAAATGTTGTATTATCAGAAAATAAACTTTTTACCCACAAACTGTAATATAACACCTAACTGTAATTAGGTCCTAGTCCACAAAAAATATAACTAGCACTCTGCTACATAGCCTAAAAAAAATAAAAGCAACACATCACATTAAATGTTACAGCATCTTTTAAGTATTGTACTGTACTGTACCACAATAATTTATTAACTATGCCACTGTGCTACACATACACAATCAGCATAAGGGAAACACCACAGGCAAATTCATTTAGTTCAAAATAACTGTGACATCTCTAACAGTATACCCCACGGTATCATATTCACAGGTGTCCTGTGAATATGATACTGGCAATAACCATGTGAAGTACAGGTACATCACAACCACATGGCAAACAGTGGAGTAACTCCTCACTAAACTGCCCACTCAAATAATCTTACTGGGTGTAAGATATGAACGCAAGCACAACTAGGCTAACAAAAAATAGAAATCAAGACTCGGCAATCAAATACCAATGGGCCTCGACGTTTATTTTTTTTTGAGTTAGCATACGGAATGATAAAATATATAGAATGATCCTGGAATATTTTTCTTCAAAACTCAAGAGGCTTCTTAACAATTCAACAAAGACTATTCTAGACTAGTCCAGCTGCAGTACTTTTGAAAATACTGTATGTCACCATACCCCCATACCTTGTGAGCTGACCAGGCATATTGACCTCAAGGTTACTGAATACTCAATACAATTTTATATGTACACTGTATAAATGAATTATAGTCTAGATGTAGACTATCATTCTTAAAATGATGATGAGAGTTTCATGGCTTTAGGCTAGGTCTACCTACATTTATACCATGCCTCATAGGCCTAAAAATACTTTTTTAAAAAACAATAAGAGACTTACTACAGCACAGGTTCTAGAGTTTAGACTAGGCCTAGAATAGTGTGCAGTAAATCCATACTTTAAAGCCAAATGCACTTGACAATGACAATATAAATGATAATATCGTCTTATACCAGTAAGTAATAATTACTGTATAATTGTTAAAGTCTAGCATTATTAATAGCATTAGCCTTGACTGAAACATTGTACTACTGGTTGAACGAGTATAGCTTACTTAATTAAGCCTTAATGATAATGGATCTGACCTAAGGGTCATCAGGCATTATGGGTAGGGGTAGTGTCGTTCACTGTGCAGGTAAGCTGCTGGCATGTTAGCACTTTGTGCAATACTCATGGCCTCGTCTTTTATCTTTATATGGTTATCTTGAGGTTATCTTGAGATGATTTCAGGGCTTTTTAGTGTCCCCGCGGCCCGGTCCTCGACCAGGCCTCCCCCCCCCCAGGAAGCAGCCCGTGACAGCTGACTAACACCCAGGTACCTATTTTACTGCTAGGTAACAGGGGCATAGGGTGAAAGAAACTCTGCCCATTGTTTCTCGCCGGCGCCCGGGATCGAACCCAGTACCACAAGTCCAGCGTGCTGTCCGCTTGGCCGACCAGCTCCCTTCAGTACTGCAATTGCAATTAATTTAGTAATTGCAATTACTGTACTTTACCACCAATTAGTTTGGTGGTAAAGAGGCTCTACGACCAGCAACATTCAATTAAACCTAAGCCTTAAACAGGATTAAGAGTGCAATAATAGTGATGGTCACACAAATAAAAAAAAAATAGTGATGGTTATATATATATGACAATTAATAACAAATATATTCCACAATCGAATATTCCATATTTATAAGGAGCTGTAAGATCTCAAACGCTTAAAACTCATTGAACTACATGTATTTTTTCTCAGATACCATACTCTCACCTTTGCAACATTTCTCAATGCTTGCAGGTATAATATAGTGTGCTGTACAATACTGTACTTGTTTACAAGACTAGTTGATCCTTGGGTTAGAATGTAAGAGTTAAGAAATGGCAGGCTATTATAGTTCTTCCCAAGCAGGTGCTATGTTCACAGCTGGTGAACACAGTGCTACAAGCAGTTAGGATATACCAATTAATACTGTACTTAAAAAACATAAAAATAAAACAATCATCATTTTAGACTATGCTAAACTGACTAAACCATCTTCAAATACAATGTTGTCATTTATTAAATGGCAACCGCATTTACAAAATCCTAAAATATTCTGTGTAAGCCAATCCAAATAATGTTTCATTTCATTTATTGAACATTGCAAACTTTTCATAAAAAAAAATCTTAATGACATTTCAGTTCTTGCTTGCAATTCATTGTGTGTAATGGCCTAAGAAATATAAAAGCCTTAGTCTTTGGCTAGTTTCATATAACTAGTCATAAAAATTATATAATATATAATATATATATATATATATATATATATATATATATATATATATATATATATATATATATATATATATATATATATACATATCTATAAAGATATATACATACCTCATACATACATACACACACACCACAAAGATACATTTGACTAATTATGGTTTTCATAGTAGTTTTCTGCATTTTTTTTTTAAATCTAGAAAAGGGAAGGGAACTATCAGGAGAAAGTGCCAAGCCACTATGACTATATAGCACTTGGAAGAGGTTAGGATAAGGATTTGGGATGGGACGGGGGAAAGGAATTGTGCCCAACCACTTGGACGGTCGAGAATTGAACGTCGACCTGCATGAAGATAAATAATGTGAAATACAGACTAGATAATAAAAAAAAAGTGTGCTTGTGAGTGAATGTGGAGTCCTGGGGGCCACACCAGTGTGACACACTGGAGCCACACCAGTGTGGCACCCTGGGGCCACACCAGTGTGGCACACTGGGGCCACACCAGTGTGAAACCCTGGAGCCACACCAGTGTGAAACCCTGGAGCCACACCAGTGTGAAACCCTGGAGCCACACCAGTGTGAAACCCTGGAGCCACACCAGTGTGAAACCCTGGAGCCACACCAGTGTGAAACCCTGGAGCCACACCAGTGTGAAACCCTGGAGCCACACCAGTGTGAAACCCTGGAGCCACACCAGTGTGAAACCCTGGAGCCACACCAGTGTGAAACCCTGGAGCCACACCAGTGTGAAACCCTGGAGCCACACCAGTGTGAAACCCTGGAGCCACACCAGTGTGAAACCCTGGAGCCACACCAGTGTGAAACCCTGGGGCCACACCAGTGTGAAACCCTGGGGCCACACCAGTGTGAAACCCTGGAGCCACACCAGTGTGACACACTGGGGCCACACCAGTGTGAAACCCTGGAGCCACACCAGTGTGACACACGGGCCACACCGTGTGGAGCCAACCAGTGTGAAACCCTGGGCCACACCACTGGGGACACAGTGTGAAACCCTGGAGCCACACACGGGCCACAGTGTGGCACACTGGGGACACACCAGTGTGGCACACTGGGGCCACATGTGTGGCACAATGGAGCCACACCAGTGTGACACCCTGGAGCCACACCAGTGGCACACTGGGGCCCACACGTGTGGCACACTGGAGCCACACCAGTGTGCCGCCCTGGGCCACACCAAGGTGTCGCCCTGGGCCACATCAAGGTATGGCTCTGGGCCACACCAAGGTATGGCCCTGGGCCACAACAAGGTATGGCCCAGGGCCACACCAAGGTGTCGACCTGGGCCACACCAGTGTGTCGCCCTGGACCACACCAAAGTGGCGCCCCGGGCCACACCAGGGTGGCGCCCCGGGCCGCAGCAGGTGTGGCTATGGGTGGGCTGGACAAGGAAGTAGTAAGAGAGTGGTGTGACCGGCGAGGCTGTGTGTGTGTGGTGTCAACAACTTCACCACCTCGGCCCATCCCCTCCTCCAGCGCCTCCTCCTGCTACCAGCCTTTCCCAGCTCCTCACAGCCCCCTCCTCAGCTCCTCGTCCCCGCCACAGGGAAAAAAGTAAGAGTGAACGAAAGGGAAACAGTGAAGGTTGTTCACTGCGACGGCTTGTTTTGCCTCTCTCACCTGTCAAGTTCCGAGAGAACTTGTAACTCCTGAGGTGTCAGGTTTATCTCCTCCGTCGTCTCCGTTACCTCCATTGTCGTCACCGATTAAGCACTAACACTGACTCCATATACACAAGAAACACTCTCACTGTAAAGGTATATTATCACTCATATTCACTGGTAACTCTGTACTGGGAGCACATCGCATGTACACTGCACCAGAACAACTGGACGAGTACACGCTGGGGGAGCTGTGCAGGGCCGCCCCGCCTCGCCTCCCGACCCGACACCACCTACTCCTTTACCGCACCTTTAATTCCCACCCCTACACTCTCCCTTCAACCCCTTTACTCCCTTTATAATTAAACCAAATTTAATTTTATAGGCTAGAACATTTGTCTATTAGCAGCTAGGGGTGTATAAAGCCGATAAACAAAGGGGTTAATGTATGGCAACTGCCGTAGAGTAATCACATCAAATTTCAGTTGCGCTTCCTGCATCGTTTTTAAATCTAACGACACTTGATAGGTTCAGGATAATATGTATTAGTACGGAGGGGTAATAGTGGAAAGTGGGCGGGTTAAGGAGCTACAAGCCCCCAGCGGGAGTGTCTCAGTTCCCGTCTGCCCCTGCGATGGTGTCTTGACCTTCCCAGGAGTTCACCACCTCCCGCTCATCTCTCAATCACACACTCTCTTAAAGCTACGATACATGGCTTAAAACTCCAAAATATATCGTGTATAAACTTTGATTATAATATATTAACTGTCGTTAATTACTAAAAATCAAATGTATATTTAGTACTTGGGTTAGGATTTGGCTCTGTGGGTATTGTTGTTGATAATCGTTATTATTGGAATGTGTGTGTCATTGTAAGGCTGGGCATCAGGAGGTGAGGACGGTGGGCGTGGAGCTGCTGGAAGGCTGTAGGTACTTATTACACGTGGGCACCGCCTCCTCCCTCATGTTATCCTTCACTGGGGGACCTCGCCCCACCCCTGAGTCCCCCTACACACTGTGTCACTCACGTACTGCAGTCATTGAGTGCTGACAAAACATACAAAATAAAATGGACGTTTAAGTGTATGCCATATATATAATATTTTTGTATAAATTGAATTCTATGTCATTTGAGAAATTATGTAGGTAACATTGACTCACACACAGGCACAATTCCAACTATTTACAGCGATTGTCAAGTATGAGGAAACTAAGCATAAGCTTGCATCACTTTCACAAATCGATATACTGTATTGTCTGCCATTATTACCATCAACACTTGACTATATTTTCTTGTATATAGTGAGGAGAGCGGAGGCGAAGTATTATGAGAGGTGTGAGGTAATACTAGAAAGAGTAATAGTGTGTGTGCCACAGTTGTGATGGTTGAGAGGACACGGCATCACTTCTGGCTCCAACTAGTTCCTCCACCCACCACCTCAACCCTCCATTTCTTCATAGTTTTACAAAATACTTTTATGATGGAGATAGATGAATAAACCTGGCATTGCTTGGAAGACTGTCAAGAGGGATATATATATATATATATATATATATATATATATATATATATATATATATATATATATATATATATATATATATATATATATATATATATATATATATATATATATATATATATATATATATATATATATAATAACACACACAGTATACTGAGCCGAACATGACAGACCACCAGACCCAGACAGGAAACCTGGCCAGAGACTGGGCCTCAGGGACATTGATCCCCACCTGATCAACTTTATATACCTGATCAACCAGGCTGTGACTCATACGTCAGGCTGCGAGCAGCCGCGTCCAACAGCCTGGTTGATCAGTCCGCCAACCAGGAGGCCTGGTCGACGACCGGGCCGCGGGGACGCTAAGCCCCGGAAGCACCTCAAGGTAACCTCAAGGTAAGGTAACCCAGAATCATCGAAAGGTAAACTAAAGATCGGTAGTACCTTGGTGCTGGCGGGCCCTAGGCTATGGCCTATTGTGTAATCCAGCCCTGACAGTATACAGTACAGTATATGTATAATGAGCAAGCTGCTTGTGTTGATTCACCTTATGGTGCCCAATCACTTGGGCTGGACGGTAGGACGACGGTCTCGCTTCATGCAGGTCGGCGTTCAATCCCCAACCCTCCAAGTATTTGAGCACCATTCCTCCTCCTCCCCGTCCTACCCCAAATCCTTATCCTGACTTCCTTCCCAGTGCTATATAGTCATAATGGCTTGGCTCTTTTCCCTTGAGAACTCCCTCCCTCCCATACTTAAGGACAGGAAGCCTATTGTGTCATTCAAAAAGTAAGTGGCAGCTTAGCAGTTCCATATTAAAATTCCAAGTTTAATGCCAATTCTTAAATGTATTGGAATATTGGCCTCTTGATGTACTATAATTTACAACATCTCAGTAAATGTATGTGGAGCAAGTCGAGTTGGAGCTGCCTTCAGTTCAGGAACTTGTGGCATTACCAGGCTTAGCTATTTCAACCTTAAAATTGCTTACACCATTGCATTAGGATGTAATGTCTTTTATCTTTTAAGCCTGGATTTATATGAGTCTAAATAAGCTAACTGTTCCTGACAAAATGAATTATTTTTAATTATTTTATTTTTTTTTATTTATATATACAAGAGTTCTTACATTCTTGTACAGCCACTAGTACGCGTAGCATTTTGAGCAAGTCCTTAATCCTATGTTCCCTGGAATACGACCCCCGCGAAGAATTGTTTTTACAACCAAGTACCCATTTTACTGTTGAGTTAAACAGAGGCTACAGTTAAGGATTTGCGCCCAGTAAATCCTTCCCGGCCAGGATACGAACCCAGGACAAAGCGCTCGCAAAACGCTAGGCGAGCGTCTTACCACTACATCACGGAGACTGTCTAGTCAACTATCGAGACTGTTGGAGACTTATTATTACTTATTTTCATAAGAAGCTCAGGAGTCAGTACTCATTGTTATTGTATGATAATATACATAATCTTTTCCCCTTATGTTTCTTGGTGGTGAGGTTTACACAGTAGAGTATTACTGGAGACAAACATTATTTCAATCACTTGGATGCATCTTTAAGGATAAAAGAAGTTGATCTAGCTCTTAGCAGTTTACTTGCTTGGGGCATATAGCAACCTCCAGGTCACATTAGGAGTCAGGTTTGGATCTCTCAGATTGCCTGGGTGCTATGTACCAGCTTCAGTAGGCTAGGGGAATGCCTGTGCCTAGAAGTAGCAGAGAAATGCAGCCCATCTTCATAAAATGATAGTATGTACTTACAGCAACTATTTGCTCAAACATATGCAAAAATAGGAAACACCGTCCGTTAGGGGCCTCGTAGCCTGGTGGATAGCGCGCAGGACTCGTAATTCTGTGGCGCGGGTTCGATTCCCGCACGAGGCAGAAACAAATGGGCAAAGTTTCTTTCACCCTGAATGCCCCTGTTACCTAGCAGTAAATAGGTACCTGGGAGTTAGTCAGCTGTCACGGGCTGCTTCCTGGGGGTGGAGGCCTGGTCGAGGACCGGGCCGCGGGGACACTAAAGCCCCGAAATCATCTCAAGATAACCGTACATAAGTATGATCTGGTGGGAATTACTTATGTTGATCTGGATTTCACAATGGGCGATTCAAAAACTAAATTTTGTTACACAAACTAAACTTTGTTGTTTAGAGATATCCATTACAGTACATGTCCAAATTTTGGAGGTGCAACTGTATATATAGAAGTACTGTATTTAGAAGCATAAATTTTTAGATACTAATTTTATTTTGAGGCTGTGGTGATAATTATTGACGTTTATTGATATTGTGTTGTAATTTTGTGCACAAGAGACTGTTCATTAAATATTTATAATTGCAGACACAACAGTGGTTTGTTTCACACTTGTCTGATACTTGCTATGGGAGGAAGTAGCCAGGCCAAATTTAAAAAGCCAAACGAAGAAGAGGAGTTTGAAGTACTTGATGTAAGAGGAACTGCCCGAAACGGAATGTCGTGGTTACAACAGTTTATGCAGGATTTGACCCGGCAGCCTGTTGCAAAGCAAGTTGCCGTCGGTGGATTGTCAGGATGGTAAGTCATGTTTTCACAAGCAAATGATGAATCACATTAATGTGCCTGAAGATATGAAGACTAAACTACACACAGCAGAAGATGAGGAGACGACGAAGTTTTGGTCCGTCCTGGACCATTACCAAGTCGATTTTGATAATGGTCCAGGACGGACCAAAATACCGTCGTCTCATCTTCTGGTTTCCATGTTTGTGGGAAATTCGAAGTTCTCTCGAATATGAATGGTATTTGACCATTCTTCAGAAAGTGACCCACAACGGTCGACTAACAACCAAGTTCCTAATTACTGCTAAGTGAACAGAGGCAATGGGTGCAAGGAGATGCATCTAGCTGTCTCGCCCTACCCAGGATTTGAACCTAGGACGTGTCGGTTATGAGCCGACAGCGCTGACCACTGAGCCACAGGTTACCCATAGTGTGGGTTTAGTCTTCATGTCTCCACAAGATAATGGTAATTGTTACAATAGTTCCATCTTTAATTTAGTTTAGGGCAGTAGGATCAAACATGTAATATTGTACTGCAGGAACAAAGGTGCACTTCTGTAAGAAACAATTAGACAAGTTCATGCAAGACTTGCCAGACCATCCAGGTTGTAGTGGATATGTGGGCCAGCGGACCACTCCAACCAACAGGCTGTTGGACCTAGTGATCACAAATCAAGCCTGGCCTCAAGCCGGGCCTGAGGAGTAGAAGAACTTCTGGAACCCTCTTCAGATAAACTCCACGTAGACCACAGGTGGGGTCTCTGAGGTCTCTGAGACGGGACCAAAGAGCCAAAGCTCAACCCCCGCAAGCACAAATAGGTGAGTACACCACATTGACAGTGGTAGGGAAGACGTCTACATGAATTATGTGAGGCTTAAGCCAGGATTCTGGGGCCTCATGGAATTTTTTTTAATTTTTTTTAGTTTATTTTCTACCACAGATGTGACCATATATTTATTCAATGCTAACCAGCATATATATACATTTTCTTGTCCTCCATGGTCAGGGCTAGAGATCTGTTCTACATATAGTGTAGTGAACTATTGAGCACTCAACCACAAAAAGTGACTGAAGTACTTATGCATCTCTAACCAGCATACATACAGTCTCGTCTATCCTACCTAGATTAGGTTAGAAATCTGTTGTACAGTGCAATGAGTTATTGAGTACTCAAACACAAAAGAGACAGAAGGAGACTGGCATGTACTGTGTTTGGTTCCCTTGTGTGGACCATTTGACCTTTGCAGTTTCCTCTATTCTTATGTTTGTTTCATTTTACTGTAATTGGGTAGGGGCATTTGTACTCCCACTGCCTCTGTGCTCACATTCACCAGAACACCCATCTTGGGGTGCATTTGGATACTAGCACATGGCTTGTTGACATTAGGTAAATTTCTCCCTCCTTTGTTTCTATATTTTCTCAATAATCAAGAAATGTAGTTTATTTTGCTTTGCCTGTACTTTCTGGATGGTTTTACTCAGTTTTGTGGTTGATCTCAGATCCCCATCCCCCCCTCCCTTACCTCTACAAGCACACCAGAGTCTTGTCCCGGTGTTTGGTAGGCCTGCACAAGTGCTGAGGCCTGCTCTGTTTTATGGCTATATGGTACCAGAGCCAATGCACAATGGAACTATTGAGCCACCCACAAAAGGGAATTTTGTTACGGTAATCTTGAGGTTATCTTGAGATGATTTCGGGGCTTTTAGTGTCCCCGCGGCCCGGTCCTCAACCAGGCCTCCACCCCCAGGAAGCAGCCCGTGACAGCTGACTAACACCCAGGTACCTATTTTACTGCTAGGTAACAGGGGCATAGGGTGAAAGAAACTCTGCCCATTGTTTCTCGCCGGCGCCTGGGATCGAACCCAGGACCACAGGATCACAAGTCCAGCGTGCTGTCCGCTCGGCTGACCGGCTCCTAGTGGTACATTCACCACTTTATTTTTATGTCGTAAAACATTTTTAGAGATTTTTCATGGTGGTATCTATGAAAAGAGTGCATCTTGTCCTTATTAGTAATTAAATAAAAATATAGAAAACATGAAAAATATTCCCCTCCACCCACATCAAACCATATATCGAATCATATATCAGATGTCATCATAACGCCACTGGACTTTGAGGTAGCCATAGCATGCCCATGCAATCTGTACCAGGTCTAAACTGGAATTCTATATTCATCAAGAATTGCAAAAACCATAATCTCAGGCCCTCAATATCTTTTAGAGACAGAGCCTAGATAGTGGTGTTATCTTTGACATACTGGGTACTTAAAACAGCAGAGGTTGTGCTTCTGCACAAAGGAGGGTAGTAAAGCAGATTCCAAAAATTAAAGATCAATATCTCTAACATTGCACATAAAATCTTTGAAAGAGTGCCAAGTACTAAGATCTCTGAACACATGGAATCACTGTCTACTTAATCGTGAACAACATGGGTTCAGAACAGAACCATGTCAGAACAACACATGTGGTTTATGACATGGTTCTGTTTGTTTGGAAGTTAAGTTGCCCCAACTGGCCAAGAAGAGAGATGGATTTATCTCATTTTTGGTCTCATTTGCTAGACCACTATGACATGACCTTAGATGAAAGACAAGCAAAACACAATGTAATATACTGTACAGTACAATGATTTCACAAGAGCTTTCGACAAATGTGACCATGGTGTTATTGCATAAAAAATGTGCACAAAAAGAATTACTGTACTGGCCTAGAAGGGAGATGGATCTCTGGCTTCCAAACAAACAGAATCCAGAGTGTAATCCTGGTAGTTAAGAAATTAAAATCTGTATCATCCATAGTGAAAAGCTCAGTCCCCCAGGGTACTGTGCACTCCTGTATTTTTTCTCATTCTCATGTCAGACATAGAAAAGGATACAAACTATAGTGTTATGTCATTCTTTGCAGATGACATAAGAATTTTCATGAGAGTAGACAATATAGAGGGCACAGCAAACATCCACTATGTTAATCAGATCTTTCAATGGGCTACAGAAATCAACATGTTTAATGAGGATAAGTTCCAGCTGCTGCACTATGGGGAAAAAAAAAATATAAAAAAGGAAGCCACATATAAAATGCAGTCAAACCACACCATTGAAAGAAAAGGCAAAGTTAAAGACTTTGGAATAATTGTCTAAGAAGACTTTTAAAGAACTCAAGGGGGCTGTCACAACTGAAAGAAAAAGGACAGGTTGGATAACAAGACAACCCATCCTCTTGAGCATTCCCAGCGTCACTGAACTGAGGTACTAAATTGCCTGAGCCTAATCTAACCGAGGACTCACGAATAAAAAAAACAGTACATCGCTCAATTTTGCGAGCTGCTATGAGTTTTAGTATATCAGTTTTTGGCTTTAGGGGATTTATATATTTATATATGTCAAAGTGTGATGTAATATTTAAGAAGAAGGGTTGAACAGGAACTTTGCAAACAAGAGATGCCATACCAACAATACTTTTAAAACACTAGGGCTGTTTAGGGGGAATATTGTTGCACTAACAGCCCCATTCAGAGCTGGAGAAATTGCTGACCTGGAGAGCATAAAAAGATCTTTTTCTGCTAGAGTTCACTCAATAAAACATCTCAATTATTTGGACCACTTAAAATTTTATTATCTGTATTCCCTAGAATACAGGCGGGGAAGCAATTTACACTTGGGAAAATACTAGAATGACTGGTTCCAAATCTACACATACAAATAATACCACATGAGATCAGAAGGCATGGCAATATATGCAGAACAGCTCCATTGAAAAGCAGAAGTGCAATAGATAATCTGACAGAAAACTTCATAAACACTTCAAAAGGATACCTGATTAACCAGGCTGTGATTTATACATCAGACTGTGGGCAGCCACATCAAATAGCCTGGTTGACCACACTACCACCCAGGAGGCCTGTTCAGAGACCGGGCCATGGGAACATTGATCTTTGGAATCATCGCAGAGTAACCTTACCACCCTTTTTTTTTTTTTTTTTTTTTTGAGATTGAGATTTTTGAGATATATACAAGAGTTGTTACATTCTTGTACAGCCACAATTACGCGTAGCGTTTTGGGCAGGTCCCTGGAATACGATCCCCGCCACGAAGAATCGTTGTTACAACCAGGTACACATTTTACTGTTGCGTTAAACAGAGGCTACAGTTAAGGATTTGCGCCCAGTAAATCCTCCCCGGCCAGGATACGAACCCATGACAAAGTGCTCGCGGAACGCCAGGCGGGTGTCTTACCACTACACCACGGAGACTTTTTATTATTAATATTATGATTTTAGGTTACTTAGATCATATTATTTATTAAAATACTAGTACTGATTAAAACAGAAGTGACACTCAAGGAAGTAAGGAAACAATTAGAGGAGTCGGATGTAGTGAGAACCACAGGCTCAAAACAAGATCTCACCATGCATCCTAAAAGTGGCAGTCTCATAAAGAAATAAAACTAGTGACCGAGGTATAAATGAGAAATTGGAACAATTTTAATTAACACCAACATTCCAAGAGCCCTAAAATGTGCCAGCCTTACTTTGACAATAAACTTGCTGATGATGCTAAACTACGTCATCCATCTTTGACATTAAAAAAAAATCACCCTAATTATTCTGGCACACTGTGGGCAGAGGTTATCAAGGCACTGACCAAAGTATCGGCCATCCAGAAATCTTCTCAGCCAACCACCCCATCACTCAAGACAATAATTGCTCTGCTTCTACATACACAATGCTTTGAAAAGTACTGTACAGTACCAGATGGAAAATGTGACAGTGGTTTGTTTTCTTCTTGCAGTAATATAGACCAATCATGTGCAAAAATTTCAATATTTATTTTTTATTTATGTTGAAAAATATGAGGAATGCTGACATGTTCATAAAAATTGGTATATTAAGCACTGTTATGCATAATTTATTATATTATTACTGTAATACTACTTCTATTTTGAATCTAATTTAGAAAACTCATTTTCAAACATTTTGACACCAAACTTATACTAATGACCCAAAAATAACTTAGGAAACGTAACAAAAGTACTGTATAAGAATAAAATTTTCTAGCTGGATTTTTGACCTTCAGTTGGTATAGGGCCAAAAAAAAAAAAAAACTGGCATGCTCTTTTGAATGCCTTTCAACACTTGAAGATGATTTTTAAGAATAACTTTATATAAAGCCACCCACTAAAGGGCATTTTGATGGATAATTATACAAAAGTCACCTGAAGAAGACTTTGGAAGATAATTTTGCAAGAATATGCTATATAGAATAGTACATTAGAAATGTATGTGCATAGAGCCTAAGTTCTTAGTAGCCAAAAAAATAACTGTCGTGCCCTATTTTCCAGGGTGGTCGGGTACGTGTCAATGAAGGTGGGTAAAGTTGCTGCAACAGTTGTTGGTGGAAGCCTCCTCATCATGCAACTGGCTGCCCACAAAGGATACATAAAGGTACACTGTATACACAATGAATTCACAAGAACGATGTGTATCGGTGAGGAAATTTTAAAGCCATACGATTTTGCTTAAAGAGTTCGTTCAGGGATGTGGGTTCGATTCTATCATACGGTTTCAATATTTTCTCGAATGCCATATAGTATTATGGTTATTAATTATATACAGTATTTAGCAATCTGTATATTAACATTGGTGTGCTTGTAATTTAAGATGTTTGCTATTAAAAGTAATACAGTACTGTACAAATAAATTTGTAGTGTCTTAGTCATAAAATAGATTTGTTACATACTAGTACTAATACACTTCACTGTACTATTGTTGTAGGTAGACTGGAATCGAGTGAATAGAGAACTAGAGAAGAATGCCAAGAAACTGAAGCAAGAAGTAGAGTCAACTGTGAATGGTGGAGCTGCTGATGAGGTCTGTGAAGAATATACAGTATATTGTTATTTCTGGAAGAGCCCCTGGAGGCTTCCCTGAAGTTATCTCACTGAGATGACTTCTCACTACTGAGTTACTTCAGCCATAGGAATCCTGTTTGGCCTACTGGGGACCAGAGCCAGAACTCTGCCCCCTGACAGAGGCACAGGAAAATGGGGACTTTTACAATCACCCACAACAAGAAAGCAACCAGAAAGTAAGCGAAGCAATACAGACAAATATAAGGTTCATAGAAAACAAAGCACCAAAACAGCCAAATGACTGCATATGATTCATTCAAACTTGACTGAAATTCACTCGAAACTAGCTTGAACCTCCAGTGCAAATGGCCACCAACATGTAGCACCCCAGTAGCTCCAGCTTCCACCCCAGCAATTAGTCAGTCTTGTTGCTAATGTCTTTGCAATTAGACATCAGCGGGTTCTACTTGTCTTTTCCAAGATAAGCATAGGCCATCCTTCAGACTCGTGTCCTGGTGTGTCTGTCCCATTTACTTGCTTATCATTTCTGATTTTTAATTCTTCATTAATTTAATTAGTATTTAATTAAATACCAATCTTTAATTTAGTGTCTGTTTTACATGTGTGTGTTTATAATCCTGACATGATGCATGGACGTGATCAGTATTCGGTACAAACTGCACGTGTTTTGGGTAACCCTTCCCTAAGCATTTGTTTAGTGTTGTCAAATACTGTTGCCTCTTATTGTTCAACTTTGGCTGTTGGGTTAGGGAGCTTCATGCTCTCCTCCAGATGCTTAGGTTCTCTTCTTCTGGCCCCTGGTGGGTGGTTTCTTCCTTAGCACACTTCTCTGCTAAAAAATTAGAGGTTCATTGGTGATTGATGCTTGGTTTGGCTGGCCAGGGATGTTATGTCCGTAATTACCTAAGTGTAGTTACAGGATGAGAGCTACGCTCGTGGTGTCCCGTCTTCCCAGCACTCTTTGTCATATAACGCTTTGAAACTACTGACGGTCTTGGCCTCCACCACCTTCTCCCCTAACTTGTTCCAACCGTCTGCCACTCTGTTTGCGAAAGTGAATTTTCTTATATTTCTTCGGCATCTGTGTTTAGCTAGTTTATATCTATGACCTCTTGTTCTTAACGTTCCAGGTCTCAAGAAATCTTCCCTATCGATTTTATCAATTCCTGTTACTATTTTGTATGTAGTGATCATATCACCTCTTTTTCTTCTGTCTTCTAGTTTTGGCATATTTAATGCCTCTAACCTCTCCTCGTAGCTCTTGCCCTTCAGTTCTGGGAGCCACTTAGTAGCATGTCTTTGCACCTTTTCCAGTTTGTTGATGTGCTTCTTAAGATATGGGCACCACACAACTGCTGCATATTCTAGCTTTGGCCTAACAAAAGTCGTGAACAATTTCTTTAGTATATCGCCATCCATGTATTTAAAAGCAATTCTGAAGTTAGAAAGCGTGGCATAGGCTCCTCGCACAATATTCTTTATGTGGTCCTCAGGTGATAGTTTTCTATCTAGAACCACCCCTAGATCTCTTTCTTTATCAGAATTCTTTAAAGATTTCTCACATAATATCTAGGTTGTGTGGGGTCTATGTTCTCCTATTCCACATTCCATAACATGGCATTTATTAACATTAAATTCCATTTGCCAAGTGGCGCTCCATGTACTTGTTTTGTCCAGGTCTTCTTGAAGGGCATGACAATCATCTAAGTTTCTTATCCTTCCTATTATCTTAGCATCATCAGCAAACATGTTCATATAATTCTGTATACCAACTGGTAGATCATTTATGTGGACAATAAACATCACTGGTGCAAGAACTGAACCCTGTGGTACTCCAATTGTGACATTTCTCCAGTCTGATACATTGCCTCTGATCACAGCCCTCATTTTTCTATCAGTCAGAAAATTTTTCATCCATGTTAGAAGTGTACCTGTCACTCCTCCAATATTTTCCAGTTTCCAGAACAACCTCTTATGTGGAACTCTGTCGAAAGCCTTTTTTAGGTCCAGATAGATGCAGTCAACCCAACCATCTCTTTCCTGTAATATCTCTGTTGCTCGATCATAGAAACTGAGTAAATTCGATACACAGGATCTTCCAGATCGAAAACCATACTGTCTGTCTGATATTATATCATTTCTCTCCAGGTGTTCTACCCATTTAGTTTTAATTATTTTTTCCAATATTTTGACTATTACACTTGTCAATGATACCGGTCTATAATTAAGGGGGTCTTCCCTGCTTCCACTTTTGTAGATTGGAACTATGTTAGCCTTTTTCCACACATCAGCTACAACTCCTGTATACAGGGATGCCTGAAAAATCAGTTGAAGAGGAATGCTGAGCTCAGGTGCACATTCTCTCAGAACCCATGGTGAAACTCCATCTGGACCAACTGCTTTGTTCTTATTTAGCTCCTTGAGCATTTTTTCCACTTCGTCTCTAGACACCTCTATGTGCTCTATGTTGTTCTCTGGAATTCTTATTGTATCTGATTCCCTGAAGATTTCATTTTGTACAAACACACTTTGGAACTTTCATTTAATGTTTCACACATTTCCTTTTCATTTTCCGTGAATCTATTTCCCATTTTCAACCTCTGAATATTATCCTTTACCTGCAATTTGTTGTTTATGAATTTATAGAACAGACCTGGTTCTGTTTTGCATTTGTCTGCAATCCCTTTTTCAAAATTTCTTTCTGCCTCTCTCCTCACTGCCGTGTAGTTGTTTCTCGCATCTTTGTATCGCTGGTATGTTTGGGGGTTCGGCCTCTTCCTGTATTGATTCCATTTTTGTGTCTTTTGGTCTCTGGCCCTCTCGCACTTTCTATTGAACCAATCCTGTTTCCTAGTTCTGCTTCTCTGTTTTGGTATAATTTTTTTTGTGCCTTTATCATATATTTCACAAAACCTGACATACATCTCATTCACTTCCTTGCCTAGCAACAAGTCTGTCCAATTATACTCACTAAAAAATTTTCTAAGGTTGCCATAATGTCCTCTCCTAAAGTCAGGTTTTTCATTTGCATCGACCGTCATATTTTCTTCCAGATTATAACGCATTGCATACTTTATTCCCAAAAAGACATGGTCACTTTTACCCAAGGGAGGAAGGTACTGAATGTCAAATATTTCTTCCTCCTTCCTGGTAAATATCAAATCTAGCATGGAGGGGACGTCCCCTTCCCTCATCCTCGTAGCTTGTTTAACATGTTGATACAAGAATGTTTCCAGGATGAGGTCTACAAATTTACAGGTCCAGAAATCTTCTGTTTTAGCTTCACATGCTTCCCAGTCTATGGATTTCAAGTTGAAGTCGCCGACTATCAACAGTCGTGAACTATCGTTATCCGCTCTCGCTATGATCTCTCTCATTATTGTTATAAGACCTTCTCGTTTACTATCTAGCTCCTCCTTTGACCATGTGCTGCTTGGCGGTGGACTATATGCATTTATGATCATTAGTTTATCATCCTCATGGCAGATCTCTAGTGCTATTATGTCAACTTCTTGTGGATTGGCAGTCACTATTTCGTTCACCTTTAGGTGTTCTTTCACCAGCACAGCAACGCCACCGCCTTTCCTGATTTTTCTGTCCTGTCTCCAAATTGAGTAGCCCCTTGGGAATATGACCTCATTTAAAATAGCATCTTCAAGTTTTGTCTCCGTGAGTGCAACAATGTCTGGTGTCTGCAGCTGTATTATATCACTTAACTCCAGTATCTTTGATCTTACTCCATCTATGTTGGTGTATGCAATCTTGAGGAACTTGTTCCCCCTCTTCTTATTTTTCACTCCCCCTTTCTCTAATGATTTTGTTGGTTTGCCTTTATGTACCACTTTACTGGCCTGCCTACCCCTATCACTTTGTAGAAAAAAGAATTGATTTCTTCTTCATTCCTGCTCTCATTTAAACGTTTTGCCTCGGCGAGGTTCAGTTTCAGCTTCTCTCTATCTTCTTTTGAAAGATCTCGTCTTAACGACCACACTTTCCCATCCTCATCACTTTGTAATTTTCTAGCATTCCTTAATACTTCTTCCATTTGTTTGGTACCATTTAGGGTGATCCTCAAAGGTCGATCTTTCCCTTTTACATATCTGCCTATTCTCCTGTAGTCGCAGACATTCTCTATGGTTGTAATACCTTCCACGAGGCCAACAATTTTATCTACTACTTTTTCTTCTTCTACAGCTCTTTCTGACCTAGATGTTATCTCCTTTTCCTTGCAGCCCCTGTCACAGGGGTTTGTTGCTACCTATGTGCTGTCCACTCTGATTTGGTGGAGGCCCTATTTGTTGTTTATCTTTGGTTTCTTGTTTCAGGGAACGGTTGTCCCAGGTTGTCCGCAGTGTCACTAGATGTAGCCTGCAGTGTAGTTAAATTTAGCCAGCCTGTGGTCTACCATTGGGGCCAAGGTTCATAACTTCGTGGCATTGGCAGCTGTGTTCACTAATGTCATGGGCTGATAATTGGGCTTGGGGGTTTTGGAGGTCTAAGAAGATCCTGATGGCTCATTATCTGGAGAGTATTCATGATCCCAGTTGGGCTTGTGTTGTCCTGGGTTGGGTTTCTTGGCCTGGTGTCTGTCTTTGTGAATATAGTTTCTGCTGTCCTCCCTGATAAGTACCATGAATTTCCATCTTCTCTGTTGGTGGATGGCTTCAGGTAGCTACCAGGGCTCCTCTAAAAAAAAGTGTTGAATGTAATACACCTCTTTCTGGTAGTGCCTCGGTGGCTCCTTGATCCCTCTCCCTCCACTACCAGGTGCATCAGTTTATGGTTTCACAGCTCCAGACTGACTTATTGCTGGGGTGGAAATCCAGAACTCCTGGGGGGGCTACCTGTTGCATTGGCATTAGTGGATTTGAATTAGTTTTGAGTGAATCACTTAGCTGATTCTTTTAATGAATCATTTAACTGTTTTGTTGATTAATTTTCTGCAAATCTTGCAGTTGTGTGTATTGCTTCACTTGCTTTCTGGTTGATTTCTCAGTG